CGTTAGGCTAGCTTCGTTGATTTTACGACATGCCAACTCTCCTTGGGTTATTTAATACCGATTTTTTACGGGGCACCCAGTGAGGAACGATTAATCAATAGTAATGTTAGTTCAACTTGGTTGATTTTGTTGGCCTGCTTAATGTCCGTCTCTGTATTGGGAGCACTCTGTGAGAATCGAAATCACATCTCAGTAGTAATGTTAGGTCAGGCTAGTTGATTTTATCCATGTTGCTTTATTTACTGTCGATCTTTGTATGAGGCACTTGGTGGGGATCGAACTCGCTACTCGGTAGTAATCTTATTCAGGCTGGTTGATCTGATTCATGTGAACCCTTATTGAGTTATTTAGTGTCGATTTTTGTTTGGGACACCCAGTGAGGATCGAACACACATATTCAGTTGTAATGATCAGCCAGCCTAGCCTTGCTAGCCATTATCCCACTCCTGAGGCCTCGTTTTGGAGATAGATAGCAGAAGAAATATTACAAGGACATAGCGGGATCGTAAAGGTGTAATTATTATGAAGAGTATCAAAAGAAATTAAAAAAAAGAGGTCTGTCTGAAAAGTAACGGAACTGATGTCACAAATAATTTATTTCAATTCCAAACATCAAACTCCATGGTTTCCTTTCCAAAGTAATTCTCCTCGAGTCTAATAATCTTTTCCATCCTTTTCTGCCACGTTTCTCAGCACTGATGGAAGGATTCTTCTTGGAGGCCCCTCAGCTCCGTCGTTACGACCCTTATGATGGCCTAGACGCCTTCAAAACGGGTTCCCTTGATATCCCCTTGAGCTTGGAGAAAATCAAAAAGTCACACGGAGCAAGATCAAGTTAATAAGTGGGTTGTTCCAGGAACTACTGGATGCTCAAGACGTTGTGAGCAGGTTCGTTGTCATGGTGAATCAACCACGATTTGTCCGACCACAACTCTCATTGATCAGGTGAATAGGGAGGTTCTTCCATTACGGCAACGCTCTTCTGGGCCATGAACTGTCGGATACTCAGGGCATTGTGGGCAGGTTCATTGTCGGGGTGAAGCAGCCATGATTTGTCCTGTCATGTGAAAAAAATGAAATGGTTACAGAAAGATATGGCAGTGAAAATTGGACAATCTCATCGCACATGAAGAAAAGACTTGAAGCAACAGAGATGTAGTTCTACAGAAGGATGCTGAGAATGCCAACATAAGCAACAGAAATGTAGATCTACAGAAAGATGCTGAGAATATTATAGACTAAACATGTGAGCAAAGACAAAGTCTTAAAGAAAATGGAAACATTAAGAAAAGTTATACTTAAGGTTAGAAGGAGACGGTTGACAATTCTAAGGAGAGAAGGTTTGGAAAACTTGACACTCACAAAAGAGATTGAACGCAAGACAGAGAGAGAGGGGGGGTAGAGAATGGCCTAAAGACACAAAGGGTATTGGGAAGGAAAAGACTTTAATGAGAAGAAAGAATAAGAAAAAAGAGGATTCAGGAAGACAAAAGGTAGCAATGGGCGTTGCATTTATACGAGCCTTACCCGCTCCACGTTGACTTCGGTCCTGTTTGTTTAAGGCTTACCGCTTCTGGAGTCACCTTGCTACTTTCTCGCGCCCGTCTTTGTACGAAAACACGTGTGCGCGATATGGTGTTATCTACATACACTTGCTAATGTTTTCTCCCAACCGGATCAAAAATTTCAAGTTTATTCGTTGTTTGAGGTTCACCGTTCGTTCTTCACTGCTTATAACTGAAAAACCTGATAAAGAACAGGTGTAAACAAAAGCACATGAAAAAAAAATGCAATACTCCCAAGATAAATTCACATCTATATAATAAATGCGAATGTCAGTGTGTCACTGTGTCATACTTTTTCAGCTTTACTCCAAGAGGCCACAGCCCAACACATCATACCATTTTGGAATAAGGTCGACTTCGTGGGCAGATTAAAAACATTCTGGGTCGGATCTGAACCCGCAATCCTGAAATTTTTGGATTCCCAAGTTTTCATTAATGCGATTGTTTTCGACGATTTTTTACGTGGTTTTTTTTTTGCGACGAATTTTTTTTTTTACGATGACAATTTTTAGAATTTGGGAATAATCGAAATTAATTGCGAAATTTTTGTAATCAAATATCAATGTGTTACTATGTCACACATTTTCAAATCAAAGGGACACAACTCTCTAACTTTCAATAGCTCATTTCAAATGAAAAAAAAATGTTGTTTTGAAATTACAATGTTTCAAAATAAAATTGTCCGTCTTTTCAACGTCATTCCTAGAAGCTGTAGCCCAACATATCATAGTGTTTTGAAATCAGGCCGACTCCGTGGACAAATTACAAACATCCCGGGCCAAATCCGGACACGCAATCCTGAAATTTGGGATTCCCAAGGTTTTATTACTGCGATTGTTTTTGGCGATTTTTTACGTGATTTTTTGCGACGAATTTTTTATGCGATAACAATTTTTATAACTTGAAAATAAATTTGGGAATAATCAAAATTAATCGAGAAAGTCACCCATAAAATAAAAATAATGGTTTTTATGGAAATTAAGCACCTACGTACATCAAATTATCTTTAAATTAAGTTGCATCAAAAGAATTATCTTTGAACTCTTAAAAGGTAAGTTTAAATATTAATGCAATACTTAAATACAGCGATCAATTTTGAGTTCCTCTGTAGTTTATTGTTACCTATCACATCTACTCTTTCCTATCTATTGTGATGAAGGCCCAATGAAGAGACCTCCGAAGGAGCTAGCTTAAATGCCGCCTAACAAGGCTTTTAAGCTAACTTACAATAAAACTGGTACGGTAGGGCAACTTTGAAATTTCAGAAACATTAATCATTAATTAGACCAATGTTTCTCTATCTTTTTTAATTTAGAGTGCACTTATAGAATAACTAAAATTCTGGGACGCATTTTAATAATGTAAAATTAGCCATGAAATTTGATAATAAAATATTTAATATTTTATTTTCAAATTTCATGGCTAATTTTCCTGAAATAAACATTTATTTTTAAAACTTTACATTGTCTATTTACTTAATATCACCCAGCTCTGTCGTTTTATTGTTGTGTTAAACAGATACCATACTTTGATCCCTGTCCGAAGCTGTTATTTACCCACCTGCCGCTAAGGTTGAATGTAGCATCCAAAGAAGAATTTGTGATTTTATCTGTCCTGACCTGGCATTTCGGCCTTGGTACCCACCCATCGCCATAACGTAGCTGCCATTTGCATTTTCTATATTTTCATGGTAATTGTTCTGATTTTTCGTGGTCTCGAATTACGAATTTAAGTTCAGTACTAGATTGGCAGTTAGGTCTCATCATTTTACTGTTGAAATTACTAAGTGTTACTAAGTGTTGAAAACATAACCTACAGCGGATATATTGAGGTCAAGAGAGATCGGGGAAGGCAGTGAAACGCTTACCTGAAGACACGGAAAGCGGGAGTTTTCGCAAAGAAAAACTGGGAAGAAACCATACTCGCCTAGAACTTGACGTGACGCAGCTCAGAGAAGAAGAAACTTAAAACTAAAAAAAATCTCCCTGGTCAGATCGATGTTCTCACTAAATTAGTGTTTCTCAACGTTTTTTTTTTTTTTTAACTTCAAGGTGCAATTGTAGAATAATTAAAACTCTGTGGTACACTTTAAATTTTAATAGCGAAGAATTAGTCATGAAATTTGAAAATTAGTTTAATATTCCCCAAAGATTAGCTGTGCAGGTTTTATTTAATGATTTATAAAGAATCTGCTCTTTTTTTAGACAGAGAGAGAAAGACAGACAGACAGACAGACAGACAGACAGAGAATATAAATGACTGATTTAAATCGCTTGACGAAGGCAAAAGAGAAAGGATTATCCCCTCCTTAAAGATTAAGAAATTTAACATCCAGTTTAAAATATCAAATGACAAAGATTTGATTTCAACATGGAAGCCACGTGCTTGGTGTAATTATTTTTTTAAATAATTTTTTTTTTTTTTAATATAAAAATATTTCATAAATTCCTCTTCTGTTAACTTGGGGTACGCCAGGGTACCTTTCAGAGCGCATTACTGCATCCCAGCGCACCGATTGAGAAAACACTAAGTTTGACGAAAAACGGTAGCAACAATATTTTACACAAGCATATGACCGGAGGTCGTGGTTGAAGCCAATGACGATTTTATTGAATAAATATACTGTTTATTATTTCAAGAATGTTTTGTGTCATGACTAGAATAAATTTCAACAAGGAGATATTTCAAATTTTTGTTTTTATATAAATGGTTTAAAAGATAGAAAATACACTAGGTTGCAAGCAATAGAAAGACGAAATTACAAGTTAGAAATTATATATATGTGTGTGTGTGTGTGTGTGTGTGTGTGTGTGTGTGTGTGTGTGTGTGTGTGTGTGTAGTTCAGTCAGTAAGTGAAAAGATATCCCCGCGCTCAGGAGATCTCGGTTGGGGATTGTCACTTCTACCGCATGCTAGAAGGAAAAGAGAAACAAAGACGGGAAGTATCCCATTTTGATAGGCTTCTAACAGCGCCCTCTCACAACTTGCCGAAACAGGCGAAGCTATGGATATTTACCATGTCTCCCCACTGATACGTGACGTGACACACGGTCGTTTTTTTTTTTTTTTTTTTTTTTTGGGGAAACCGAGTGCGTATACTGGGGCCAAGGATAAAAATTCCCCGAGCCCCAGAAACCGTCGGTTGCGCTGGGCTCAATGGCGAGCAGATTTCTCTCTCTACTGCAATGAGAAGGTCCAACCTCGGGCAGCTGTTCCCCAGAGTTGGGCACCTCAAAGCATTATTTTCCTCAGTTGCGCCCCTGTCCTTCGACGGAGCCGCAGCTGAGAGATGCTAAACCCCTACCCTGCATGTGCCAGGCGAAGCTATATGAGGATGACCCACATCTTATCGAACATTATTTTTATAATGCTACCCGTTTCGTTTGTAACTCACGACAATGTAAAATCCATACTTCAGTACACTTGTGTGCTTACCACCATATCACGTTGAAACACCGGTTCCCGTACGATCTCTGAAGTTAAGCAACGTCAAGTCTGGTGATTACCTAGATGGGTAACCGCTTGGAAATACCAGATGATGTAAGGTTAGTTGTGTAGGTAGTCTAATAAATTATGGCTTGGAATTGTTAATCGGAGACCTGAATTCAAATTTCAGTTGGGTTTTCTTGCATTCATTTATTTGCAAATACCCTTAGGAATGGTATGACTTCGCCTGTTCTACCTCAGCAATGGGTTAATTAGTAATACTTGTTCACTAAATGATTATTAGCTGAAAAAATATTCTTGCAATGTAAATGTATTTTGTGTCTTTAAATATCCTGCAGTCTTAAAAAATGAATCAATCAAAGTAACCATGATTTTTGTAAATAATTTACTGATCATTTTTTCGTTCTTTTTTTATTCTCTTTGACAGCACTATCCAACCTAACGACAAGGTTACTGTTTGCTTTCGGCTTTAATTCTTGCTGAAATATCTTGTAAAACATCCACCGAGAATTGCTTCCTGTTCTTTTCCTTTGCTAACAGAACCTGAGGTGAGTGAACCGCTTCCATTAACGAATACATTTGCTTTGACTCTCACATAATAAAAATAGTCTACACATTGACAAATAATCTTTCTTCTTCTTCTTCTTCTTCTTCTTCTTCTTCTTCTTCTTCTTCTTCTTCTTCTTACTTTTCGTTTTTTTTATATTCTTCTTCTTCTTTTTCTTCTTACTTCTTCTCGTGTTTTTATATTCTTCTTCTTCTTCTTCTTCTTCTTCTTACTTCTCCTCGTTTTTTTATATTCTTCTTCTTCCTCCTCCTCCTCCTCCTCCTTACCCACCTCGTTTTTTCATATTCTTCTTCTTCTTCTTCTTAATTCTCTTCGTTTTTTTATATTCTTCTTCTTCTTCTTCTTCTTCTTACTTTTCGTTTAATTTATATTCTTCTTCTTCTTTTTCTTCTTACTTCTCCTCGTGTTTTTATATTCTTCTTCTTCTTCTTTTTCTTCTTCCTCCTCCTCCTCCTCCTCCTTACCCACCTCGTTTTTTCATATTCTTCTTCTTCTTCTTCTTCTTCTTACTTCTCTTCGTTTTTTTATATTCTTCTTCTTCTTCTTCTTTCTTCTTTGCAACTCTCTTTGTATAGACGCAAGAAGTTTAATTAAGGAGTTTAATAAAAATATGTTTCTTTTCCTTTTTTCCTTTTTTTTTATTTTATGGAACCTGTTCCATTTCCAAAGTGATTTTACCATTTTCCAAAGTTTTTTTACATTTCTAAAACACATTCATTTGATGAAAGGACAAGTCAACAACAAAGCGAACGAACCAACCTAAAAAATGTCCGACGGAAATTTTCGCATCATGTCATCAGAATTGGCTTTAGTGATTTTATTGAAAACAAAATGAAAACTGAACTAAAGACAGATTAAACTTTAATGAAAACTGCTTTATACCAGCTTGATATTAACATACAATTACGGGGTGCGGCAGAAATTATCTCTCACATATACCTCCCTGAAATGCCTCACACATTATGGTAAGACCGTAGCTTGATGAAGACACCATTAATGTTTTACTATTATGTGGCATATATTTCTGGGAGGTACATGTGGGAGGTATTTCTGCCGCACTTTTTATAATTATTTGTATGGCCTATGATAGCTGGATGCTAGGAGAGCATTGTAACCAGTCCCAGGGTCCCAAAAGGAATCTGGGAATTTCGGGGTATAATGGAAAGCGACGTGGAGAGACGAGTTCGAATTCCAGCTGGGGTCGTTACATTCACTTACGCGCAAATACCATTTGGAAAGGCATGAACTCATCTCTTCTCCCACAGCTATGGTTTAAATAATTGAACTTGTATTTAAAAAAAAATCATTTTTATTCTCGAAAAGTTTGTTGAAGCAATATTCATAGTCTCCTCCCCGACCAAAATAAAACAAATTATTCTTACAATCCCAAATATGTTTTGGCTTTAAATAAATCACAAAGGGTTGATAAACCGTAAAAAACAAATCGGTTATATTGTTTAAATCTAGCAGCTTATTCGCTAAGGCCTACGACCATATCACGTTGATACACCGTTTCGATCACCAAAGTTAAGCAAGGCCGAGCGTGGTCAGTACATAGATGGGTGAGCGCTTGGGAATATCAGGTGTTGTAAGCTTGGATGTGATGGTGGTGTAATGGATTATGGCATGAATTGTTAATTAGTAAAAATTGTATCGCTAAATTATTATTATCTCAAAAGAAATTCTTACAGTCTATAAATATTTTCTGGCTTTAAATAACCTGTAAAGAGTTGATAAGCCATAGACTACGAATCAATCAGGACGATAGTGAAGATCAACGGACATCACTTTTATGAGCGTTGACTGCGAATTCTTCAATATTTTGACATAGGGTAGCTTATCTCTTTTACCATTGCCCACCTCAATAGGGGAAGGTCCTCAAAAATGGGGACTAAACATCAGAAGTCTCTACCACTATCATGAAGTGAGATGATTATATTGAGTCAATTGTTAGGTTTACTGCTTGAAAGATTGTGTCGCGCCAAACAATTTTTCTTTTCCACATTTATAAATGTACCATCCGTCCATTCAATGAATATTGCTGCCATATTTGGTCTGGTTCTCCTGCTATATCTCTTGAGATTTTCGACAGAATCCAAATAAATGTCTGTTATGTTATCGGTTCTGACCTGGCATATCAACTTCAGTCTCTTACTCACCGCCATATTGTGACTTCTCTCTGTCTTTTCTATAAACATTTTCATGACACTTGTTCTAATGAACCCTCCGCCATCTTACCTTAAACGCATGGATTTAAGTATAAGGCCAGATGAGTGACTAGGTTTTATTGTTTTACTATTGAATTAGAACCGTAATTTCTATTCTGATAGTTTCTTTTTTAGTAGTTTTCACTTGTGGAACTCTCTTCCGGTTTCTTACTTTCCCGCCACTTAACAAAAATTGAAGTCCAACGTCACTAACCATCTTTTGTCTTTATGAAACCTGTTATTTTATTGTCCTTTCTCCTCACAAAAAGTCACCTCAATCTACAGAGTAACCAGTAAAAATTGCGATAAATTCAGAAAAATATTTATTTACCGTATATACTGACGTTTCATACGACTTTTGAAGACCTAATTTTGAATCTAATTTTAAGGGGGTCGCGTCATACACGAGATATAAAATTAACGTACAGCTGGCCCTGGTTACGCCGTTGACTAAACTATATATCCATTTACTGTAGTGAAATTAGCTTCAAAATTACGTCTTCAAAGGTTGCATAGTACGCGCGTATATACGGTAGCTATCATGATTCATGCACAAATAGAACAATCATCGTCGATGTTCGAATTGTTTGCCTGAATGATCAACACAAAGTTGTAAATATGGTAACAAGGAGGAGGCAGTATTTGCGGATAGTGTCAAGAGGAATTTCAAGCTTCAGTTAAGTTTCACTTCAATGAATCAATATGGACAATGTCACGACGACGGTTTTGGAAGTGAGTAAGGAATATACTCCAGATACAGTAATCCATGGTGTATTTTCTCGGAGTATAAATTTGCCGCTTTTTTTTTTCTTTTTCTTTTTTTTACTGGGCACCCTGTATTTCATTCTCAGTAACTGCTTGTAGCTTAATAGCGTTATCATTCTCTTGAGATGAAAATATTATTAAAGAAAAGAAAAAAAACAAATATCTTGTTAAAATCATTTGCTTCATATTTTTACATGTTTGCTTAATATGTTGATACTTAAAAAGACTGGTCAATCAAACTGAAAAAAAATACTGGGAAAATAATTTTTGTAAGTTATCTTTCATCCATGATATTTGTGAAAATCGCAAATTATTTCTTTTAATCTATTTTGTACATAATAGAGTGTAAATCGATTCCAGGCTTTATAGGACATATTTATAGGACATATTTATAGGACATATTTATAGGACTTATTTATAGGACATATTTATAGGACATATTTATAGGACTTATTTATAGGACATATTTATAGGACATATTTATAGGACTTATTTATCGGATATATTCATATTTACATTTATAGGACATTTTTATATGATTTTATAGGACGTTATAGGACGAATTATTATTTACAAATGCCACGTTAGAATCTGTACTTGCATCATTGATGTCTACATATATTTTTTTACATTTCTAACTTTTTAAAACATTTTTAATAAAAAAAATATACCCACCAATGCCTTTTTTTATTTCTTTAAAAAAAAATAGGCATTGGTGGGTATATTTTTCGGAAACACATGCATAAACATTGGAGCTAATAATTATTTATTTGAAATAAAGAAAAATATGTATTTTTGTGTTAATTCACCCCAAATAATGTAAAGTTACTTATAGCAAATATGAATTCACCACAAGAATTTCAGTCAGTCATATGCTATGTGTGATACACGCTTAAGCGATCATGTATCTTTCGATACATGACTGACGAGGCAGATTTTTTCCTGCAGTAAGTTGCCATTTGTCATCCAAGGCTATAGAATCCGATCTGTCCTGCTATTTACCCATAGTTGCGGGGGAGAAGAAGAGTATTCATACCTTTCCCAAGAATATTTACGCATAAGTGAATATCAGTCAGTTATGTGCTATGTGTGATACACGCTTAGGCAATCATGTATCTTTCGATACATGACTGACGAGGCAGATTTTTTCCCGCAGTACTTTGCCATTTCTTTCTGCGGTAGACCAGTTGCCATCCAAGTCTATAGAACCAGGTCAGTCCTGCTATTTACCCATAGCTGGGGGAAGAAGAAGAAGAGCATTCATACCTTTCCCAAGAGTATAAGCACGTAGGTGAATGTAATGGATTCGACTGGAATTCGAACTCTGCTCTCCGATTCCTCAGTCCGAACCATTACTCCAGCGTGCCTCCTTAAGAAATTATAAACTTTAAATCAATTTTTTTTATTATTAAATTTTTGGCACAAGTTAAGGTTATAGTTTGGTTGAGGAATTTTTTCAACTAAAAAAAAAAAAAGGAAAAAAATCTGTTTTTTGCTTGTTTATCGAGGTAAGCGCGAAATAGCGCAGCGAGTCGTGGGCGACTCCCTGCACTATTTCACGCGATCGCAAAGGTCAAACCAACCAGAGTGCAATGGACGGGCCTCGCTCTGAGAGAATTTCGTGTGAATTTTAGTAAATATAAATTCTTTTTATTTGGGGCTTTAGGATAAAATATAACCCCCACTCCGCCTCTCCAGCACCCACCTTACTCTCCTCATTCGAATTTTCATTTGTTCCGGACACCTAAATAACTATTGACTCTCTCAGTTAGGTGATATACGTGATACACACTTGGACGCTGATGTATCTTTCGATTCATGACTGGCTACGCAGAAGATTTTCCTGCTGTAGGTTGCCGTTTCTTTCTGCTGTAGACTAGTTACCAACCCAGGCTATATCACCCAGTCTGTCTTGTAATTCAACCTATAGATGGGGGTAGACTGGAATTCGAACTCGGTTCTCCGAGCTGTTACCTCTCATTCCGACCTGTTATACATTTCACTACATCGCACATCTCTAATCATAATAGACTCCCTATCAGAATCCAGGGCCTTCTCACTAATGTTGAAGGAACCTCTTCCCTGATCGACCGTCTTCAGGGCTGAAGACGTACTCATTACGATTGGCCAATTGTGGGTTGGTGAAGTTATTTACTCCGTAGTTGGAGGTTTTAAATTCAGTTGTCTTCCTAGGCTGGTTGTCACACAAAGCCTGTCCTGCACTTTGCTCATAGAGAGAAAAGAAGGATTCGTATCTTTCCTAAGGGTATTTAAGTGTAAGTTTATGTAGTACCGTGGTTAAATATTTACCTCTTTTTACAATCATTATATTTGGGCACTTCGGCGTGGTGTAATGATTGCCAAGCGTATCTCGCGAGATTAATTACGACGGAGTAGTGAGTTCGAATCCTCACCAGGTACTACAACTAAACTACGCTTAATACATCACTAGACTTGAAGCTTAAATTTAAATTTTTATGCATATTTTTTAATTTATTTATGACCCCATAATAAGATATGCTAAAGGCCCCGTATCAGCAAAGTCTGATCTTGAGAAACATTTCGATGTATAGGTTGAATATCTTTACTGCATTTTTCTTCGTGACTATGTTCCGTCTGAAACTGTCATTAGCACAGTGTCGTCTGCGTAGACGATGTTGTTAAGATAATAATTCTTGGTAAGTCCTCTTTTAAACAATCATTTTTCAATAGTAACTGCATTTTGGTGCCGTTTGTTAAACACTTCGAATTAACTTAACCAGCAAGCCACCGATGATTTTTTTTTTTTTTTTTTTGTATATAGGTACTCATGCGCATGCGCTCAATCTATTATCGTCTGCCTCTGTCTAAAATTGAGAATGTTTGTTTTTTTGGACGGGTCAGAATCACTCGCTATAAATCATTTCCGTCAATAATTCACTAATATTTCACACTCACAGCGTAGTTAATTGAGCGAATTAAGAAACTTAATCCACAGAAAGCTTGTTCTTGGGACTTACGTTTTAGAATTGTATAAAGGGGGAAATTAATTGCGCATTGGCCACAACGCAGTAAATGATTTGCCTTGACAACACAATGCTTATATCTTTGATTTCCACAACCTTTAAACTCTTTTTTTTCTCTTATTCATCCACAAATAGACATGCAGTTAATCGTACGTGACTATGAAAAAAAATAAATATTAACTGAACATGATGTCTTGTTTTATGATACGAGGCCATGTTTTGACAATAAAAATTGATACTGACCACCCATTGCTGATAAAAACGTTCAAGGTATACTCATATTTGTATGCGCAGTATATCGGGTAAATTCCCATAAAGAACACAATCTCTGGCTAAACCATCACGTCCATCTATTCTAGTTGCACATCCATGTCTAAAAATACTTTTGAGAAATCGGTTTCCGTGAACTTTTTCGCTGTCAAATTACACTGTTTTTGTGATGTTTACTTGAAAAGGTTGTAATTTTGGGTTGTGTCCATGTCGTTAGCCAATGATTTTATTATTCTGCATGTTTCTTCTCTTTTTAGCTTCCCAACGCCAGCTACTTAAATATTTCTTTTGCTTATTACATTTTTTATTTTAAGTACAGTATATATATATATATATATATACTGTA